AGCACCAGCCTTAGCTGTCTTCTTAAAAAACAGCTATGGAACAAAACAGCAACAACTATCAGTGTATTAGGCCACATTTTGTGTTCATTCTATATTCTGTATTCACCATTGGCTGCAAATTGTCTTTTTTTGTTTTTGACTTATTTTATTTATTTTTTAGAAAAGTTTTTATTTTTTGTTTTCTTTTTTAGATTGTAGTTTTTTTTTTAATTTCTTTCTGTAAGACCCTTTTTATCCTTTCCTAAGGATTGTATGCGTCTAATAAAAAAATATAAAAATATAAAATATACATAAACTTATATAATACATATACATCTACGTGCCAAATGAAAAATGTCTATTCTATTCTATTCTATTCTATTCTATTCTATTCTATTCTATTCTATTCTATTCTATTCTATTCTATTCTATTCTATTCTATTCTATTCATAAATGAACTACGTGTCATTTGTCCTGAATGGTTTTATATGCATTGATCGCACCACAATACCACTTTGCATTTTTCTATAATTGTTGTAACCTTTCCATCCCATGGGGGGGGGGGATTTGTGAATGTTATTGAATATATTAAAAATAGATGGTATGTGATCGCACACACGATGAATGGCTATATTCAGTGACGCTAACACGCCCCAAACCACAGACCCTATATCACATCGTTGTTTATGCCCTTGCACAGTGAATGAGTCATCCTTCCGATTGTGTGCTTTTCATGATTCCATGCCCTGTAAAAAAGATCCAGTAATGGAGCTTTTTTTAGCTCCATGGTCCAACATTTTCCACGAAATTTGAGAGAAAGCACGAAGTATCCTACTAGTATGATGTTTGATTCTGTTTCCTTCTTTCACGTTATCAATTCATGCAGATTGTGTGCTCTGGTCACGTGGTCGAATTCTAAGTATTAATTAAGTTCAAAAAAATATCACAAATGACTGATCGTCCGGTGGTTTCAGGAACTACTGTAAAACCATTTATTTTAAATGTCATGTTAATTTCACTATGTTTTAGGCAATTTCACTGGGTTTTAAATTCACGAACTTGGCAAACAATGAGTTCTATTGTTATTTTACATGTTCAAGTGGATTTAATTTTGTGGATTTTACTTGTCAGCGAAAATGACAAAATTAAAAAAAACGAATAACTAATGCGTTTACGGTAGACTACAAGTCGCGCAATGATCGCTGTATAAGTTTTTGTGTAAACAAGCTTTAGAAAGTAACACCAACACGGATTTGGTTGCAATACAATATAGACTTCAAGGAAACGGCATACGAGGTTGAGACGGTACGATCAACAGTTCAAGTCATTTCGCCGCATTTGGTTGCGGGAAGTATATAGTTACTGGTAAAATTGTCTACACAACATCGCCCATTCTAGCTTGCAGATCTGACTGGAAGGGTCTCACGATCTCACTATCAATGATGACACAGTGTGTTACCTGCATCGTATTATTTGTTGGTTTAATTGGCTCAGTGCATTGTCAGACTTCAACAGTGGATACACCTACCACACGGCAAACTGGTAAATATCATGTAGTTTCACTTGTTATTCAAGTAACTTGTTATGTAAAAGAAATACTATATATTAAGTTGCCTGACTTCTTCCCTTACTTAATATAGAAATTACACATAGGGTTTAATCTCCAAATCAAGTGACAATCGCCTAAACTTGACGTTGTGGTGGAGAGACCTTGCTCGGTATGGAATGGTATTTGTTACCCGGAAGTACAATTGGAATATATGCGTTGACTCCCGTTGACTCCTAGTCCGGTTTTTCCACCAAGCCATTGTAAACGCCACTATTCATATGCAAATTTACATTCTCGACTCAATGTTGAGCTTGTTGTCGTTATTGTCTGTGCCCAAGCTACAGCCTTGCTCTCAGGAATTGCATGTGCTCGAATATATAGAGATACTATTTTTTTTGTGAGAGAATTTGTATTTATTTATTTATCTGTGTAACCTATTTTAATCAGACTCACTGTTTAACTAAAAAAAAATTATCGAATGTGGCGCAAAAAAATAGCATTACGTAACTTCAACAATAAATTTGATTACAATAATAACTTTAATAATAACTTTATTACACACCTTAACCATCTGTGGATTTAGTAAGGTAAAAAAATGATAAAAAAGGTAATAGTATTAGGGAAAATACAGGAAAGGAAACGAAAACAGTGTTTCAGGGCAGTATAAAATATTTGTCTGGATTCTTGGCTGGTATTACTATTAAACCATTTCCATTACCTACAAACCAATATTACTTGTAAATAATTAGGAAGCCGGCATCACTTGGCAACAATTTGTTCGTATGACCGGCCATGAACCGGCCAAGGCTTTAGCGAAACCGTGTTGAATTCGGATGATAAATGGTTGCGCCTGTCCTGCTTTCCAGTGACAGCGGATGTCCAGAATAAACAGTTTCCCAGCAGCCTTTGCAATGTTTCAAAGATGGCGGATATCTTGAAAACTTGCCTTCCATGCGTACATATAATATTATAAATATTGATCCGATATGAATGAATCGTATCTAACCAGGTAAATATTGTGTGACCTATGTCACTGACAAACTGTATTCCACCGTCATACTTGGAGCGGATTTACCTGTGAATCATCATAGAGTAAAACTTCTGATCTTCACATTCATTCATTCTGTAATTACGATTTTAGCTGGGACACTTCATAAACCGATTCCGGGAGCCGATTAGTGTTCAATCACAGAGTTTCTATATACTGTATATGTTTATATAGTGTTGCTTCAGAGGTTAGATGTGTAGTAAGCAAAAATGGTGCGCAAAATTTAGTAAGAGATTTTAATACAGTCGATCTCGGCCAGATGGAATCGCCGTGGTGTGAAGTGTTCGAAGGATGAGTTAATATTATCACCTTCTTTCACGCTAGCCTGACATGTAGGCATGAGTAGCGACCCCACCGGCCGAACGGCATTAGACTCCACTGACGCCTGACATGTAGGCATGAGTAGCGACCCCACCGGCCGAACGGCATTAGACTCCACTAACGCCTGACATGTAGGCATGAGTAGCGACCCCACCGGCCGAACGGCATTAGACTCCACTAACGCCTGACAGAAAGTGTATGTCTCGTCAGCAAGATCAATACTGCAAATTTGCAAAGTTCACGCCTTCTTGCATTGAGTTGCGATGAATATTTATTTTGGTGGTCATGGTAACCTAATGTAATTTTGGTAACATTGTCAATCATGAAATTAAGGTATTTGATAAGTAAATACCACTTAAAAACAGTAACAAATCGTGTTTCCAGTGTCAGCAAAAATCACAGACTGTTTTTTTTTTTTTTTTTTTTTTTTTTCTTTTTTTTTGTTGAAGCTTGAAGATAATTAAAACAGAATGCTGAAAATTTAATAATGTTTGCAACTGTTTTCAACAAGATGATAAACATTGGGTGGAAATTTGCTGGCACCTTATCATACATTTATAGTAATATTTATTGCATCTTTAGAAATATAGTATTCCTATCAGTACAGTAGCAATAAAAGTATAACATGATTTATGATTATGTCAACAAATAAACTCTGCTGTGAATGGTTACTCTTTGATGGCTGTCACTGTCAGACATTCCTGCAATTTGAATGGTATCGACAACAACTCTTCAGGGGAAGTGAAAAACTACTAGTACATCGTTTTGTCAGGAGTGTGTTGGGTTTGGATCACCTATGCGCACCTCACGCGACCTTGTCAGGCTACTTTCATGTTTTTGACTCCCGTATGTGAATCACACAATGTCTGTTTTACTGATATCTCAAGAACCACATGTTGGTTTTTGAAACTTGATACTCTGGCCTAATTTGCATAATGATTACTGGAAGTCCGCTTCCAGCTTTTCCAATAATATCTCAAATACCAATCATCACATTACAATGAAACTTGGTACACAAAACAATGCACAGACCTGATAAGTTTTGGGTTAATAGCCATGCATATTAATTACCTAATTTGCATAATTAGTAAATTGTTGGCTTTTCCTGTGATATTTATAGTACCTTGGTACATAAATACTCTCAAACATTGCAACAATCTAATGTAATCTATTTTTTTTAATTTGCATAATATACAGTAATTAGCAAAATTTAAGCATTTTCACTTGTTACTCATGTACTATTCAACAGATTTCAATGAAACTTGGTACATAGATGCTTGACTTATTTTTAGATTGAAGTCCAGTGCATATTATTTACCTATTTTGCATATTAATTAGCCAACTTCTTTTTCAAGAACCATTCCATGGATTTCAATGAAATTTGATACACAGATTCTCCAGGACAATGCACAAACCTGATTATTTTTTTATTGAGATAACAGGGATTGCGTTAACCCTATATTTTGCTTCCCGGACTCCAATTATTGAAGAGGGATCGAATTTTTCAGCCAAGCTAGGGTCCAATCCCTTATAAAGTTACCCAGGGTAAAATTTCAATTTCTTAAAACTTTGTAAGTTGGACTCGTCTTGCTAAGACACTAGCGCAAACCCTGAGATAAATATGAGATGGCTAATGTTTCAGATGATTATATATGGTTATGTGACCTCAATAATATACATAACTGTAATGTCTTGAGTACTTTTACAGATAGGAGCATGCAACTGGTGCTATAATTTTGTTGTCAGACAAGATATATGGTGATCAAAATATATGGCGACCAAAAGTCATATTTCATTGAATATTTATAATTGTTAAACCATAGCTACTTGGAACCCCATCTGGTTCACTATTTGCAGTTTTATTTTTAAATGCTGTATTTGCTCTAATAGTGTGTAAATATGTAGTAAATACAGCATTCCTTATTTGTACTTCTTGCCTCCAATACCAAAAACACACAGGTTCTTTATGAGCTTTCTTTGATTATATAGTGTCTTTCTATTTTCAGATCATATATATGCCACACAACAATCTGTCTACAAGTCTGTAGTAAAAATATAGAATGTATCATGACTCCCTCAAATGTCAGATGTGCCGTCTAGAAGGCAGCTGAACATTAATTTCTCTCTATACTACATAACTCATGAAATGTAATTTTCAGAAACATTAGCTTTACAAATCCATTATTTTGAATTGAATTAATTTCACCACATGCAAAAGGCCATTTACCAGTAAGTTAGACATTACAAGTCGTGTCGTGGGTTTCAGTTTTTGAAGTCATTATAATTATTTATTGTGATCATATCCTGAAATGTATGTGTTTGGTGTGTTTTGTAGCACAATGTTACAAAGAATGCGGAAATAGTGTCTCCCATGTCATGCTCCGTATGCACCATATGCAAACAACTTTAGTGCATACATTTGATTGTCAGATCATATGGTTGTCAGAACATATGGTTGTCTAAACATTTGATTGTCAAAACATTTGATTATCAGAACATATGGTTGTCAGAACATTTGATTGTCAAAACATTTGATTGTCAGAACATTTGATTATCAGAACATATGGTTGTCAGAACATTTGATTATCAGAACATATGGTTGTCAGAACTTTTGATTGTCAAATCATATGGTTGTCGGAACATTTGATTGTCAGAACATATGGTTGTCGGAACATTTGATTATCAGAACATAT